CTCTTTCAAGATAATATTACAGATTAATTGTTAGGGCTAACAGTACTGCTTAGCTGAACTGTTTCTTAAAAAGTAAATATTTTAATCTCCTTCAATAACTTTCTTGATAGATTTGTCATTTATAAATTTCAGAGAGCACTTCTGCCCTTTAATAGCTACTGAATGAGTACATGACATGATGACAAACTATACTCACATTATCTTTTTACACTAAGTTAATGTAATACTGCTTCCTAACGAATAAACAAAGCTCATTTGTCTGTTAATCACAGACTGATAAAAGTAAATGGATGTTGCCTTTATCTCAGGTGTTGCAGACTTTGTTCTATGAAAAGACATGAGTAATTGCCTGAGTTTCAGCTTTATACTGGCTGACAACAAGAGTCCATGAACTTACTGTACAAATACTAATATAATTTGACATTTTAAAAGCTATTTTGATTATCTGCTGTACGAGAGTAATTAGCCTTACCTCCAGTACTTGTTGCCTACAAAGAAATAGGTTTTCTTGGTATTTTGATCATGAACAGCTGCATCGATTTTCCTGACGCTAGTGGGGAAGCCCAGGTTCTGAATAGGTTTGGGAAAGCCTGGCTCTATACTGTAGCCACTGACAGCCCAGTACTGGTCGTCTGCAGGAAAACCAGAAAAAGTTAGTAGGGATTCCTGAGGAGGCCGAGCTCCTTTTCATCAAAGCATCAGAACTTTCTGTGTAATAATTGCCACCAAATAGCACAGATGTCCAGCTGAGAACATGACCCTCTAGGGCACACATAAGTTTGAATATTTCAGAGCTGTTGGATTCTCCACTTTTTATAGTCCTTAAGAGAATTATATACTCAATAGTTAAAACTCAACGTATTTTCTAGGTGCGTTTGGCATCTTTACAAATGTATTTAAATAACTTCATGTAGGCAATCAATTTTGTCTCAGCTATGATCTCTCTCACTGGCAAAAGAAGAGTAATATATTGTACAGGGATGTTGTGAAGCAGTACTAGTTAATGATGGCAACAGCATTATCAAAATGAAAACGGATTTAAATGTTTTCTTGTATTAGTATTAGTATGATATTACTTCCATTATTATTATGTAACATTAGCAGTACTAATATAACTTCATTAATTCATAAAAAGGACTGATGGAAATGTAAAAGAAGTACCTTTAAATAATAGCACTCGATCCTTCTTGTCAAGCTCATAAGCAGCATCAAAGCCAGCTGCCAGTGATGGCCAGAATGAGGAGATGGTGTCATGCTCAATGCTCGAGAAATACGGACTTTTGCGCCAGACATAGCTGATAGAAATGAAAACAGCAGGGTTTCATTGTCTGTATTTCACCAGGAGATCAGTAGCCCAGAAATCTACTCTAAAACCTGCTGTCTGGGTGCTGGAGCCAGTCCTCCCTGTGAGGCAGAGCTACCACCCCTTTTGGGATGCGGTGCTTCACTTTGCCCTGCTGTCTCATAGACATTTGCCCTTTACTATGGGTTGCTCTAAGCTCACAGAATGGTTGAGGTTGGAAGGGAC